AAACATTTTTGTTCTTAATATGATTTCAATATCACGTGTTTCCCAACTGTTAGCTAGTGCTGGTAGCATGTGTATTATATCATATTATCACACCTACAATAAAGTCTAGTAGTGGTCTAGATGTGGTTTCATATATCATTCCAAGATACGCATAAGCAGCCAACGCATTTAATAACATAACTACTTACACAACAAACATTACTACATACTCGTATATACTTACTTTAACATTGTAATAAGAAACCCACAAACATCAAATTTTTTAAACTGTGTTCTTACACAGTTTAAAAATTTGATGTTTGTGGGTTCTTTACCAAAAACAAAAATATTGCAATAGGCCAACATTGATATTGATCACACAAAGTATATGTCTGATTCGTAAATGTAAGTACTTTTTCTTGTAAAAATCTACTGAAAATATTAAGTTACGCTCCTATCCAGGTGAATATCAACACCAGAGCTGGCAACGGATAAGTCAAAGCAGGAATGTCGTAAAAAACCGGTCAGGCACGAGTCGAACTCGTGCGCCGAGGGTTCCGTACCTACCCAGATTTTACGTAGATTTCCGCGAAAATTTGTAAGTACCAAAATTTATTTTAATTTTCAACTTTTTTTATTTTTTGGAATTATTCCTTTATTTGTGCTGTAAGGCGTTTCCTTTTGCCAAATTTCGTAATTCTAGGACAATGTGAACTACCATATAGGTTTTCGACCTAAAACCTATAGGGTACTTCCGGTTGACCTAGAATTGTCAATTTTGGTTAAAAGCAATTTTTTACAGCACAAGTAATTAAAGGTAAATTTTGTTACTTACAAGTTATCTTTATATCCATCCATCCATATCTTTTTATCATGTTCATTCAGGACCTTGAATTTTATACACCTAATAGGGACCATAGACCTCAGTATATACACTCAGTATAGACCTGGAATAAATTTCCACTTGCTAGGTCTACCCGTTCCTGAGAAAATCGGTGGCGACACACGAACTGGCGGACAAAAAAGTGATCATATAAGGGTTCCTTTTTTACCTTTTGAGGTACGAAACCCTAATATTTAAGGTGCTGTATCTAATTTAATCTCGAAAAGAGTTTTCCTTCATCCTTTTGTACAAGAACAAAATAATGTCCACATATCTGTGTGGCTTCCGTATACGCATTACGTTTCTAAGGGACCAACTAGGAACATTGTATATAACCCTCTGCCAACATTGAAATGATGAAGATAAATGGAATTTGGGTTTATTAAACCACATTGAAATATGTCAGTTACTTGGCTTAGATTATGTCCCGTGAGTTTCCCACTTGGCATAAAACTAAATGAGCCACGGAGCATAATTATAATTGTAAAAATGTTTACTTCTAATAATTGATCTTAACTGAATGTAACAGCTAATATTTGCTGATATAATTATCGGGGATTTCTGTTCAATTTGATTCCAAAAGTTGTTACACCCCGTTTGAACATTTTATTGCATAATTCTGAAGATTTATACAAATAAGCAATGTGAATTGTTACCAGTAAATATAACTCACGTATATCTCGAACGCATGAATTCTCTTTTACGACTAGACCTTCAATACAATGTATACACGAAGTAGCAGAACTCGGTTTATATTACCCTATGAAAGCATGCTAAGTGCCTATTTAATTTATGTGTTTACTTGCATCAGCCTACAAGCAGCATACAAGTCCGGATATGAATGAGAATACAGAGATGTTTGTTGGTTATGTAGTACACATTCTACAACTGAGTTTTATTACAAGAAAATTACTGCTTCTGATACAGACGCTCTTTAACTACTAAACACTATATTGTGATTGTATATCTTAATATTTTGTGTAAATAGAAACTATGCATTGTGTTTAAATTTGGCAGTTTTTTTAGCACTATTGTCTGGTATAATCCTTAGCTGATGGAAATGTGGAGGTAAGCTTAAGTTTGGACCACCAAAGAGATCATTTTGGAGTGCTTGAGCCTATTATCAGATATAATCTGTATTATTTACTCATTAAGATTAAGCTATAGAGACAAGTATTAATTAAAATCTCATGATGAGCCCTTTAATTTGATACCCATGTTGCAGTATCCAAAATTTATTTTTTTACTTTAAACTGTAGCGTCTCACAGTTTCATGTTGGTGTTTTATCGCGTCACCTATCTAAGAACACTTGGGTTACCAAGACGAATTTAATGATATGTTAATCAAATATATCCGCAGCAGACGCAGCGGTTTGGAAGATATGAGGTAATAAAAAATATTACTACACGTAATACATACTAATAATACACGGCACATCATAAAAGCGATATCGCTAACAGGTATGCAGGTGTTTGTACTGCATTAAATAACTTTTTTTTTAATGGAATAGGGGCAATTGAGCAGAGCAGAGCTGATGGAAAGCGACTACCGCCGCCCATGAACGCCCACTACTCAGGAGGGCATACATAACATATATACATAGCATACATAAGCGCGTTACCGACCTTTGAGGAAAAGTGCGCTCTTTTTTTGAAGGTTTGAAGGTCGTATCGGTCCGGAAATACCGCAGCCGATAATTTTTTCTAAAATGTGTCTTGAAAAGCTGTGGTGAAGTGCCAATTATCCAAGGTGGTGATATTTTTTTTTCCGTATGGAACGATGGCGGAAAGTTGCGGCCGGTTAGTCTGAACAAATTCTTGGAGCACTCTCCATGATATATACGATAGAGTATGCATAGCGAAGCTACAGTTATTTTAAATAACTGTACCTATAAGTATAACTAGTAGTACAACTGGAGGCGATAATTCAAACTCTAAACAATAATTATAAATGTTATTTATTTTAGTATGCGAGGTTCATCATGAATTTCAACATTTTGAAAATATAAACATCATTTAGATTCAGAACAAATTATTGTACTCATCATACAATATTTGCCAGGAATCGAACCCACGTCCTCTGGCTTAGCATTCGGGATCGCTTACAACTAGACCACAAGTCAGGATACTTCTCGAAAACATTTATTGTAACTTCCCTTTTAAAAAGCTCAATGTAAATTTTAATTATTTTAAGGCGTGGTCGTCAAACCTTAGCTAAACGTAGGACTACATTTCCAAGTGAAATATTTATCAAACCTTTGCAGAGTAATCTGTAATTAAAACAGCTTATACGAGATTACTGGTATCTGATTTCACTTTCAGCTGGCTTGATGTTATTTCAATGTAAAACACCTTAAATATTCCTAATGGACTTGCTTCCATCCATTTATTAGCAAAAATACGACTTGTGGAAGTAGAATGTAAATTAGTAATAATTTGTTTGAGGTATGTGTGAAATTAGAAATAAAATACTGGATTAAATTTGGATACTTTTTATTTAAAGACCATAAGATCATTTCATAAAATAAAATGGCACGTACTACATATACAATAAGGTCATAAAATAGGCATATCCCACACATCAAATATTTCATAAATTTGTACAACAGTATAACAGTCTTATATCTATACATTAGATGTTAAATAAATCAAACTATTGCAAATGGGTAATTGACACAGTGCATAAAATTTATAGGACTATAAAATATTAAGAGGAAATATAAGGCACGTTTGCAGACATTCCCTCTGACAAAGCCTCAAACTCCTAACACAGATATTACTTGCTTAAAAGCAAGCTCTAATCACAAATATTGTAACACCAATCATGCAAAATGAATTACTGTGTCTTTGATCATTAGTCGTATAGTGAAAGTTAAAATTAAAATACCGATATAATTTACAGAATTTTATAGTTACATCATTGTAACACCACTATACGCATATGTGTAACACATTTTCAATACATGAACGGTCTTTGTCATCGTTAACCAAAAATATAAATAGGTACATCAAATCTTGATTTTATAAATTTCATAAATTATATTTTAAAATTACAACCTGTTTATTATATTTATGTTTCAAATTAGTGCAAACCACCGTTAAATATTTAAATTTCATGCACTTTACAGGTAAATAGAATAATACTGTTATTAGTTAATTAAATTTGGGGGTTGGTCATTTAACCCTTTAGATACAAACAACAAAATATTATTTTAATATGTGCCAAAAGTCAGGACTTATGACCGTAAAAAAATAGTTTAATTTTTACTCTACTTTTTTCCTTTTAATTTTTAAATATACATATAATAACAGGGTCAAAAATCTCAGGGTTTTTTTTTAAACTACTTGTGAAATAACACAGATTTTTCTATACTTTTACGTTGTGAACTCTCAAACCTTCAAAACAACAATGTCACATCAGTTTTAAAACATCACATTATGATTGCACCATTCAGAGCGATGTCTTTTATTATAATTTTCAGTCTGACCTTAAATAAACAGCCTCGTACTAAATGATATGATAAGAAGACTCTAAATGTTACTTTCTAAGTTTAACAAAATGGACGAATAATCTACAGGCAGGGATGAATTCCCAGTTAAGAAACGACTCTCAAAAAAAATACACAACTCCTTAGTACTGCAAACCAATAAAAGAGTATGTAACATCTTCAAGTAGTAAATATATAGGTAATAAACACTTACCTTCAATCAACATTGTGTACAATCAATAGGTATTAAGCTCACTTTAGGAAAGGGGTAAACACGAACATTTACAGAATTATTGTTTATAAAAATAAATTAATCTTACAGATCGATTCCAAACAAGTTGCAAAGAATATATTACAATAACTATAATTTAATATTAATAAGGTAAAGAGATAATTAAATTATTACATTATTATGAGTAAACCGTTTTATTGTAATCATATTACATTGTATTGGCATCCTAGTATCCTTCTCTCAGTATTCCCACCTCCTAACCATCATAAATCCACCGTAACTTCGACCCGGCGACCATCGAACAAATCTCGTCGAACCAGATCAACAGAGATAACAAAATTATCTGTTTATATAACAGAAACAAAAATAAACTCCTGTCGCGGAGTGAACAAGATCCAGAAGTATATGGGCCGACAGATCATATGCTTAGTGATGGTCGTTTCTTCCTGACACTCTTGTTACTCAGACCGAGAATTGAGCCTATTACCTGTGGCAAAGAAAACATTTTTATCAAAACTTATCTTTCTTTAATTGGTATTTTGATAGTTTTATGAAAAGTAGGACTCAGTTGTATCTCCGCTAAATGTTGGAGGTCACTGGGACTCCCTCAAATAGAATGGCAGTTAAAATAACCGTGTAACAGTTTTAAAGAGCTGCTATAAAATCAATAGACGCACAGTTTTGTCTCTAGCGCAGTTATCTTTTATAGGGTTGCACTGCACGGTGCAATGCACGACTGTGCCAAGTGTTTATGATGTCGTCGTGTAGTAACTATGTTTAAGACGTGTGATACAGCTTTTTACAAACTTGTCAAATCTTACCTTAGACACAGAATAAGCGGCAAGCTTTCGCCGTGGTGGTAACAACAATGCTAGAGCACGCGCTTCTCGGAGCAACGCATGAAATGCGAGTGCAGCACCCGCGCATGACTCTGCTGCAGATACCTCGTAGAATTGACAACTGAACCTTAACGATAGCTCCTGACCCTCTTCTGCTTTAACAACTCTGTTAGAGAAAAAAAAACTTAGTTTATTTATTATAACGTACAATACCTGACATAAGATATTTTTTTGATATTATAAACACAAATATTCTTTAATTCTTTACCTAATTCTTGGGGTCTATTGTACGTCCATATTATATGATCAAAACTTTGTATATATAAGCTCAACGAATATTAGCAGACTAGAGATAATATTCTGATGTCTCACCTGGCATGTTCCAGGTCCCGTTTATTGCCAAGCAGTGTAACAGCTGTGCATCCAGGCAGCCTTGTCCTTTCTAACAGAGCGAGCAATTCGGCAGCTGCCAAGAACGATCGTCTATCGCAGACCGAGTAGACGACGGCGAAAGCATCGCCCCATCGAAGATGTTCTGCTAGACAACCGCGTTTCTGTACAAAATAATTTACTATTGAAATAGTGTTTATAAGGTAAATATTTTAGACTTTACTTAGGTAAGAAAGCAAGCTCTAATACTGAACGTTATTATAATTATACTGGTACGTAGCTAGTATTAATTATTGAGTATGGGCACGAAAAGTAAAAATCCTTTGGAAAAGTTTGGAAAACGTACAATTTTATTTTAAATTCAAGCATAACATTTATTTTAGCAATACTTCCACTTAAAAAAGGACAAAGGCTCTTGGTGGTGACGGTGAATGACCTTCATCATCAGCCTTTAATAGTCCACTGCTGGACATAGGCCTCTTCTTAGAAATGACGTTTTGGCCTACTATACCACCCTGGCCAGACGGGTTGGTATAGAGTTTATTTCAAGTTTTCCTTCTCTTTGCAGTGCTGTTGTCTTGCGTAGTTTGCTCCCTTGGTCGGCTCTTGCGACACCCACGGAATAAATAGAGGTGGTGACACTCAATATTCTTAATCCGTCACCACACGGACAAAAACAATGATCAATGATCTTCAATGAGACCAATACCAATTAAGATATATATTATATATCACAGACGTATTATTAGACGTACTGCTATTGTTTAATTCGACTCTAAAAATTAACGAAGCGTAAGTTGAATTGGGGGTCACTGTTGCTGTGTTAATGGGTACCTATTCTTTTGGCATTGTAACTCTCCCTACATATAGCTAGACAATATAATATTATAATTGTCATATTTATGCCAAAGGTGAACCAATTACCGATTTGGCACTACTAATGAAAATCAAAGTATTAAGGTGAGGTTTGGGCAGACGTAAAACGTAACGTAACGTAAAAGAATATAATCGTTTTTCGTTTAAGTATAATTACATTAATAATAACGTAACTCTCCATAAGTATAATATTTTGAAATATTTAACGATATGTATTTGATATTCGCACTTGAAAGCATAAAATGCAAAATTTTATCCTGTTACTCAATTAAAAGTAAATAATTTATTCATTTAACTGATAAAATGTTAAAAAGGATACACTCTAGAGTGAAGAGCGTTAGACTATTAGCAAAGCTATCGATAAGATTTACCGCACAACCGCACGTATCTAAAACTTCCACTTCAGACGTGGCGCCGTCGAACGCCACTCGGTGTTGATACAAGAAATCTGAAAACAAAACATATAATTACCTTTGCATTTACACAATCGTACATACTTAACACAGAACAACGTTCTCGATAGCGACCTAGTAATATATCGACTTTCTGAAAGATCTTATCAGCCACACGCATCTAGGTTACACCCGCAACCCGCAACACACTTGCACGATACGCCAAATGACAGTGCCACTGATATTTGCCAAAAAAGTACAGTAAATTACTTGAAAGGAGACATGACAACGTGAAGATTTTAACGCCGATAACTAGCATAGTAACAAAAGAACTGAATACCGTACAAATATTGTTTTTATTTACTTTTATCACAACGTAACTCCGCAATCTCGTATGGCAGTTAATCTGAGGAAAACATCTGTAGCTTTACTCGGATTCCATACTTCGATTACATTGTTATTGATTTTTTTTTTTCAATTTTTTATTTGTCGACAAAATAATGTAATATGAAACAGAGGTCAACGGCCTGTAGAGACCGGCGCCAGTGTCGGCCAGCCTTGGCACTCCCGCACTGGATCTTGCCAATATTGCAAATAAACCGTCCATTGGCACTCAGAGCTTGGCTTGGCATTTGGTGGGCACTCAGTAAGGGTTTATGTATTTCGATCAACAATGAACACTCTTCGCATATCAACTAGTATAGCAAAACCTGATAGGTGTGCCAGTAAAAAATGATGACTATTAGTGTCATGATAATCTCAATCCATAGTCAGAATATTTATCTGATCAGTTGTTGACCGTGCAAACCATTTTGTGTTAAAATTTCATCTTTGTAACGCTGAGTAAATAAAAAATTTAGGACTCTATAGAAAACGAAACCTACACAGAAAACGATGTATAGTTAATGTATATTTTAGTAGGTTACCAATGAATCGCGAGGAATTCACACCAATATTAAAAAAACATTGGCAATGTAAACGAAAATGTGTAAAAACAAACCTCATTAATACAGTAGCGGATTTCTAAATATACTTACCACCAGTAGAGCTGTACTCTCCGATGTAACGTTTGGTTAAATAACGAACCACCACGGCTGCAACAATAAAACAGAACCATTTACTAGATTGCATAACAAACGATGTTGAACTTGTTATCAATAAATATGCACTTAATTACACTTTTAGTTAACTCTTTATCGAACAAGATAAAATATATCGATTTGTAGAAATTGAAATACAAGTTGGATTCAGAGAAAGCAGCAATTAGCGGCGGTTGTGCTGAGGTATTACAAAATTTGTGCCCCTCAATGAATTTATAACTACAAGCTTCAATTAGAGGGAAAGTAACAAAGGGCTTAAATAAAATTATTGGTCGAGGGATTAAGTTAAAGCACGTTCAAGTTGAAATTTTATTTACAGCTTACATAGTAATTAAATTCTACTATTTAAAGTATTACAAGGAATTTAATTGCATGTATTGCATTGAATGAGGAATGTTATAAATCTATTTCTTCGTTACAAAATAGGACAGAATGTATTTGGTTTAAAATCAGAAGCATCTGACTAAATAGCCTTAGAGATTAATATAATCATCGTGTTAGTGTTTTTAAATATATATTTTTTGACCTCGGTAGCTTAACTGTACATATGTGCAAATTTTGTAAACCAACATTCAGGCGCTTCCGACTTATTTAATTGCCTACTGTTAAAATCAAATAAACGACCATAAACAGCAATACCGGTTCCCATTATCTTTGCAAGTTTAATAGCAATTAGTAGATGTTTTCTTAACTTTTGTATTACGCCAAGCTCTTTTGTGTTGTATATATGTATGTATGTACATATACATACAGAGGTGCAGTTATACTAGTATTGTTATTGAGTAATATAAAATGCGTCCTTCGTTCAACGACTGTTTTTCAAGTACTTTAATGTAAATACATAGGTTAGATAACACATAACCTATGCTCAAAACAATAAAAAGGACATTAGAATTGTCAAAAGAATTTCATGCATGTTCGAGAACATTCACACAAGTATTTTCACTGAACACCTTATTTGGATATTAAGTTGGTAAACTCATTTGGTTTTAAAAACATATAATATTAATAAAATCATTGTTTTTAATTATTAGAATGTTGAAAGGTTTACCTCTACTCCTCACAATAAATCAGGAAATAAACTCTTAAAATTGATAGGGACATTAGCACTGCCATTGTGTTGAGAGGCTAATAACCCATTATGACCACAACAGTATTGAAAGTTATAGGATTGAACTCCTGAAATAGTAGTAGACGATTTTGATCTTTATCGTACTTGCTGTACACGGAATTCACTCTCATTCTTTCTTTTTTATCAAAGGTAGTAAAAGTCACTTAATCCTCGTTCAAGATATGATCCGAATAATTTATATTATTACTAATAAAAATAAAATGAATACATTTGGAACAGTGAACTCATTTCTATTAATAGCAATGACATCAAGTAAAAAACTATTACTAATACAAATATTTATGGTCTACAATCTCGATGTACAGATACAAACTACTTTCGAGACATGATAAGTAAATATTGATTAGAATGAGTATTATTTTCCGTCTCTTGGTAGTTCTTACTTTAGTAATACTGGCCTACGTTATGTCTTACATACTAGTGTAGTGTCTATAACTGAGAAAATCATACATGTTTCAATCAATCGACCGCCATCAAGCACAGATTAAGCTAGTAGCTCCGGCTTGTAACTCCTTATAAGTTTATTGTAAGGCCCTTTCTCGTTATGGGCATACAAAAGTTGTAGCAAATGCATATTTTAGAAATCTGAATAATATATCACTGCGTTAACTACCAGTTCATTATTAAAATGGCGTTTTTTTCCTTTTAATATATGTTGACGTTAGCAAAGGAACGCTTGAACAGTGTCACTTGGCAAGGTATCAGGGGGGATATTAACTTTTTTATTAAAGTGTCGTTATATAAAATAAATCACCACATGTCTAAGACTGCTGATTAGACCCTAGTCTACTATCGATGTTTAGTCATAAAATTATCATGAAATATCATATTGCTTTATACGTCGCGCGTCGCATAGACATCAGTAGAAAAACTATAAACATATCAAACGATTTATTCCTCAACTCCTGCTTTATGGTCGTGGAATTTAATATAAATTGACATGTATAGTATTGTTCTAAGTTATATATTTCAAGTGGATAGAAATACCTATTCTTGGAGACCTTAACGGAAGAAGAATATTACAACTAACTTACTCTTAAATTATGTCAGGTGTGGTACATTCAATTAATTAAAAAATTAACTGCTACTTAATTATGGATCAATCAAACTCTGAAGAAAAAAAAGCGAAAATGCGAGAACCCGAAAATCAATCAAAGTGGCGTGCAATAGGAGAGGCCTATGTCCAGCAGTGGACTGTGATATACTGATGATGATGATGAAACTCGGAAATATATATTTTTAAAGACAACTCTAATTCTAATATGCAGTTCTTTGACCTCGACAAAAAGAAAAAAATGCCTGTGGATTGTGATGCTTTGTGGGCTGTCTTAGTGGCCTTTGTAATCACATGATGGACCGACCCCAGCCTATTAAACCTACTGCAGTCTCTGTACCATTCAATAAAACTATTCCATCATACTTGCGTTAACCCATACCTTAGGTCTCTCACGATATCCGTGTTTTTTACCTAAATTTTTAAGAGGGTTGACGTCAGGAAAGCGGCAATGGCTTATACCATAAAAATTTTAGCATGAGAATCGAATCTTAGTAAAATTGTTTTTTAAGTCTGAACTACTATAACATAAGTTTTCTAGTTGTAGTACTTTAAAATAGGTACTGTATACCTTTTTTATTTGCAAAAATTTTTTGCTTCAACTGATTTCTACAAATAGGATTACGGTGTTGGGTTTATATTATTGTATGTATTTCTACTTTAGAGTATCAATAATTCAAAGCGCAAAAAGTCGCTCATCGCTTTAAAGCGATTTGAATAAACCTACTTTCGCTTATCTATATAGATAATTAATTAGTAGGATATCTATACGCGGGAGTTGATGGGTCAGGAGCAAAAAGCGGTGATGTGTTCAGATTCAATGAATCAGCTCAAAACAATCGATGTATGTTAATTGCGATTTCACGGCTATCTATCGAGGTTGTCGAACTTTCCTTTTATGTTCACTCTCCCGGTTAGGATCCTTTATTAGTCGAGTGTAAACACTTCAATAGTCTTATTAGCTTTAACTTATTGATGTTTATTTTTAATGTAATCAATCAACGTTGTGCAGTTTTGGGTTAATACAAAAAAAATGTAACTAGTAGGAGCAAATAAACCTTTAAAAGTGAGACGTATAAATGTAAATTTCAGGTGTAATACTAACTCGTTACCGCTAAAAACAAATTAATAAAGTATGGTAAGTACGAATTGTTAACCAAAAAACTTTAGCTATAAAAATCCATGACAAGAGTTCTTGTGAAAGATCAAAGATAAATAAAACCACTTCACAACTTCATTAAAGGACGGAACCTTACTGCACAGTACAGGTATATAACTTATAGGTAAGTATTGCAGAAACTGAAAATTCTTATCAATTCGTGCAAAATAAACATGCGGCCTGAGTCGTACCAATTATACTAACGAGTACTTTCACTTGAACACTGATAGCCAGACGGTTCAAGGTAAACCGCAGATATGCTATAGAAATATACATAATACCTCATACTAATATATCTGGGTTAAATGTGTATCAGGGCGGTCCCCTCATGGAGAAAATAATTAAGGTTTTGACCGTGAATTAGCCTGGACGATCACACGTAAGTTCTGTATTGTGGACGCAATAATAATAATTAATACGGTACTCCTTCCTGGACAAGGGATTCAGACGACATCTCCTGGATGAACACGGTAGCGAGTTAAATGTTAATTGAGAGCATCGGCTAGGTGATCACCGCTGCGATCCCAACCTCACTACTTTACCAGTAATTGGACACCGAACAGTTCATTTACATTTTTAATTTCATTTTCGTTCCATCAACGCAACTTAGTTAAGTCACACGTATTTATTTTTACGACTTAAATAAATTGATTTCGATGCACTTCATCGAGGTCCATTAACAGTCAATCAATTTTTATTTCAAATTGATTTACTAAGGATATTATGAAACTTTCTTTTATATAGTTAATATTGATTTTACATGCTAATTATAATTTCTCTTTAGTTATTCTTGACAGATGACAATTGGAGATTTACTTGACCTAAAAGTCTAGAAAAATTTGACCTGGTATTCAGTACAAATAAAGGTCTAAAGTGGTCACAGACAAATTGAAACGCCTAGTTATTGACTGTACACAGTAAGAGTATGTGTAAACTATTCAGAATAACAGATATTATCCAAAGCAAACATTAAACAGCGAAAGTAAAAATTAGCAACAATCAATGCATGTGTAACCTAGTATCGCGATAAGTTGAAAGCATATCGCAGTGTAACAAACTATAGATCTGTAAATATGATATAGATTCTCAGTATTTTTAAAGCACTACTATGGTAAACTATTTGGTAACTAATGACTCCCATATTGTCTACTAAACAAAAATGAACTAAAGGATGAATTCAGACATTCTATCTTCGCTAAAAATATAAATGGAAATATGCGAATCTATTTAGAACGCTGACTGTACGTTAAAATATTCGGTCGACAACGTGTTGTAGTGGTGTTTCGTAGTGAGTGTGCGTGGTGACTGCTGCGTGAAGCGGGTGTCCCGGCAGACGTCTGACCGGATGACTCAGTGCGACCCGCCCGCCCGCGCCCGCGCTCCACGGCATGCGGCTGAGTTGCGCGCGCAACTCTATAAATACAACTGCAGTTGACATTTAGCCGTGTTCGATCTATGATCCTAAAAGTTAAAACGCAATAGTTTTATGCATTTAAAACTGATTTGCATATGTTACGACGGGCTAAGTTTTGTCAGCTTTTAATTACATTTTTTAAACGTTGAACTCAAACCATTTTCCTTCATCTAATTTTTGGGGCAAACGATCCAGTGCATTTAATGCGTTGTACGACAAATAAATTTTGTTTTAT